TGACTTGGAGTGGGAGGCAGAGAGAGATGAGAAGGACCTGTTTGGTTTATTGCAGCACCCTATAAAAGGCCTGGAAGAAATACATGCGCTCTTCCATAACTCTGGTAGTCTCTTTCAGTTGGAAGACAGTCTTGGCCATAGCACATGAGAGAGGCTCAATAAATATTAATTTAACGGTTAAAACCATGCCTGTAGAGACAGACTACCTGGGTCCTAATCCTGGCTACATTACTTGTTAATTACCTGAACTAGCTGTGCTTATGTTTCTCCATCCAGAAGATAAAAAGAGGACCACACTCCAAAAGGTCAGTTGTTAAGAAATTTATTCAAGTATTTGCTATTGTTTGTCCTTTCTATTTCCAAGACATTTGACAAATAACATCAGCTACAACTTCATCAAAATGTTGGTGATAATGATATTTATATTGGAATAATTAGATGTCTGCGCTTGCCTGGCTTGTTTAGAAATGGGATAATGTGATATCACACAATTTTATACCCCAGAAAAAATTTAAAATTACTTGAAAATACATTGGAATACATAGTTATCCACACGTGTAAAATCTGTAAAGCAAAATTTTATACTTGTTTCTTCAAAACATCCATATGATCCCACATATCAGTGGCTCTAAACTCAATGCCTACCATAAAGATTTCCACATGCGAGTGAGGCCAACTCACTGTACAACCTGAATAAAATTGCTGCATATGAGCCCTGGCCAAGTAGTTCAGTTGATTGGAGCATCATTCATAAACACCAAAGTTGTGTGTTCCATCCCCTGTCAGGGCACGTCCCTAGGTTGCAGGTTCAGTCCTGGTAAGGGTGTGTATGGGAAGCATCCAGTCCATGTTTCTGTCTCTGACTCTCTGTCTGTCTCTCTCAAATTAATGGATGTATTCATGTATCCTTAGGAGGGGATTTAAAAAAAAAAAATCAACCAAGGACCCAGGTAGGTGTGGGTCAGTTTGTTGGAGCGCCATCTAGTATACCCAAAGGTTGTGGGTTAAATTCCCAATCAGGGCACAACCTAGGTTGTGAGTTCGATCCTGGGTCAGGGCACTTATTGATGGATGTTTCTCATATTGATACTTCTCTCTCCCTTCCTCTCTCTCTCTCTCTCTATTAAAAAAAAAAATCAATTGAAAAAATAAAAAAATAAAGCTGCTGCACCTGAGCTAAAGACACTGATACCTTGTGGATGCATGCCCAGTTGGCCAGTGTCTAAATTTTCAAGGGACTCCAGAATCTGGGATTACTTTTTTAATGTGACATTTCTCAATTTAAAATTTTGGCTTAATATATTTCTTGGTACAAAACTGTGGTTCAAACAACACACTTGAGAGCCATTTGTCAAATCTCCGCCAATTATTCTAGTACCTACATAAGAGTACTCTGTGCTGTTATTCATATCAGCAAATACTTTTCAAGCACTTGTGCCAAGGCCTGGATACAAGGTAAGGAAGACAAAATATGACAAAGTATTCATGAAACTCACATGTCTGGTGGGGAGATAGGCCATAATGTCACAGGAGAGAGTGAAAAATGCCACATCTGCTGGTGGTTTAAGTATTTGATCAGGCCCGCTATAAAAAAAAAAATCCTAAAAACAAAGAACCTCATTATTTGAAACCTTGGCAATTGGTGGTACCCAAGTAGATGGCCCTTTTGTTTAACAAAACACCTTAATGGATTTTGGGGGTGGGAGCTATGCATAGAAAGGGCCACAGCCTTGCACATTTGCAGGGGGACCATTCCTACTGCGGGCCTCTGCAATTGGCACCCCCTTGAGACCCATTCAGGCTGTATTCTTTGTGAATAGTACCCCCTGGAATTGTGCAACCAGGATGATTCTGTCCATAAACACAGGCCTGGAGTCTGGCCTGAGAGAAGGATTGAGAGCTAAATCCTTCTACATAATAAAGTAAGAGGGGCAAAACAAGAAAAAAAAAAAAAGAGGAATTTTAAATCTTTACCTAGTAGGTAGAGGCAGGAGGATGGAGAGGTGCCTGTAATGGGGAGAAGACAAGGGCTTGGAGAAAACAGCTCTCGGATGAAGATGGGCCAGCAATTTGACAACAACCTGGAGCCTATGAACCTGGTGAGGGAATCCCTGTAATTTGGAAAAGCAATGCATAAAATCATCTGTCATCTTCTTTAATTCCCAGGAGACACTGACAAATGAAGTCAAACAACTGTTCTGTTGGCATCAAGTATAGCCTTCACTCCTCTTACGCATGAATTAGGAGATAACCAGGAAAAATGCAACGCTCAGGCTCACATAGCAACACTTGGCTAAATATACAGTACTATAATAACTTGCCTTTTCACTCTTTTTCTTCAAAAAGCTCAAAGTGCTTACACTTTTATTTCCTCATTTGCTCTAACATTCCAGTGTGGGAGGGGCTGATTTATGATAACATTATTTATAGATGGAGAAATTGAAATAGAGATTAAATTGCTTACTCAGTGTTGCATAGCTGGGGTGGTGGAGCCCACACTGGAATTTAGTTCTCCAAGCTCCTGCCATGAAGTTAAAAGATCATGAGTTTTTGAATTAGAGGGATCTTTGTTTGAACCATCCTGATTTCTGTCCCTTAGTAAGAATGTGGCCTTAAGTCAATTACTTCATCTAAGTCTCAGTTTTTCTCTTCTGTAAAATTAAGACCATAAAACTTCATAGCAGTGTAGTGAAGATTAATTTAGAAAATGCATGTAAAGCCCTGGCACAGAACAGTTCTCAAATAAGATTAGTTCCACCCCCCAACCCAGTGTTATCTGGTTAAATTTCAGTACAAATTTGAAGTAATAAAAAAAAGAATCCCACATTAATACTAAGTTTTTTTTTTCTAGCTTCATCTCCCACTGAGAGCAAAACATGAATAAAAATGCTTCAATAGGTCATTTAATTCAAGGGGAAGAATTTTGCTTCTGTAGAATTATTCCTGTTGGAGGCAATTAGAAAAAAAAGAGGACTATGGGGAAGACAAGAGTGCTCTAAACCTTGAGAATGTTCCAGAATCACCTGGAAGTCCTGTTAAATAAAACAGATTTCTGGGTCCCACCCCAGAGTTTCTGATTCACAGGGTCTGGAGTGGGGCCTGATAATTTGTGTTTGTAACAAATGCACAGATGATGGTGATGCTGGTGGCCCAGGGACTAGACCTCAGAGAAGCCCTAGCATGGTTAAATAGAACTCTGGGGTTGGAGCCAGGCAACCGGTGTGTTGCCAAGACCTCCAGGATTATGAGGCCCTGTCAAGTTGGAGAGCTACTGGCAGAGTGGTGAAAAGCATCTGAGGAGACAGATCCACACTCAGATCCTGACTGCAGCGTTTCCTGGTTAGATGACCATTCAATGACAATCCTCTAGCACTTCTGTGTCTTTCAGGGAGTCTGAGAATGTCTGTGATTCAGGATTCCTCTTCCTCTTCCTCTAAGCTCTTGGTGCAAAGAGAAGTTTTTGAGTTCTGCCAACCCAGGCTCTGTTTTTTATTCCTTTACACTCCAAGGCATGAAAGGCTGCTTAACTTTGGGTATTAGGGAAGTATTTACAAACACTTCTGTGATCACAAATATAAAATAAACAAGACAGCACTGTAAATAAAGCCAGTAACAAAGGCATTGTTTGCATCTTAAATTCATAATAATGGGTTGTGAATCATTACCATTTCCTCTGGCTCTTTAAGTAGAAAATTAAAAAAAATCTTCCTCACAGATGCTTAGAAATTTGTTTTGCAGATAGTGTGCATGCTAAGAGGCTTTATTTCCCCTGTATCTGGCCTGAGATACAGAATCTGCCTCAGATGTTTGATGCCTTCCTGATTTTGTGGTGGAGGAATTCCTTTTTTTCTTTTTTTTTTTCCCCTCCTTTCCCTGCCTGGCAACTGACTGTGGGTCCTCATACTGTCTTGGCTCACAGTGTTACAAGTATCCAGGCTGGCCACAGGACATTCTTTGGCTCACCTACCTTCATTTTTCCCACTGCAAAAACCTCTACTCTTCTTTTATTTCCCTAATTAACTTTTTCTGTTGCCCGTTGCTAATCCACAGGTTTCCAAATTACTCCCTGTCAGAGTGATTCCACTGGAAGAGAAATTGTTCCTACTGATGATGAGATATGAGAATCGTACTTTTATTCAGTTCTGTGTTGGCACCAGGTACACTGAAGTGTTTATCATACATTTTCACTTTAAATTCCTACAATTCAGACATGATTATATATGTGTACCCACAAAGACACATACACCTATCAGATATTACAAATGAGGAAACTGAGGCTTAGTTAGAAAGGTCAAGCAACTTGCCCAGGGTGAGAAAGTACAAGTAAATTACAGGTCCCAAGCAACAAGTAAAAGTAAGTAACAGGGCCCAGGTTCTTGGCCTCTGTTTAAGTTCTAAGTGATGATGGAATATAGAAACATAGTTTGGTCCTTGCACTTAAAAAATTTAAAAACCTTCTTAGGGGTAGATGAGATTTTTACACACAAGTTAAAATTAAGAGCCAACATTTGTGGTATTGAGTTTGGCATCTTTGACCTGTTTCCTCTTCTGCAAGGTGTACATAATAGCACCAATCTCAAGGGGCTTGGGGATTCATTAACTGAGTTAAGCACCTGAAGTGCTTAACAGGATGCCTACCAGGTTGTAAGCCTTCAGTAAAAGTTAACTATTATTATTTTCAAAGGAGGTAGATTGGAATGAATACTGGAGAGAGGAGGGGCCGGGTGTATGCAGTGGACCCTGTCATCTAAACTTTCTGACCCTCGACTTCCTCCTATGTAAAATTAGGTGCTGGAACTGAACAATGCGAAGAGCAGCAGCAGCCTGGGGAACAGAGTGTCCACGGGATTAGATCTCTGAGAGTCCGGAGGCGGATTTGTGGGCGCTGGGCGGGAGAGGCCCCGCCCCGCCCGGGAGGCCCTGGCAGCTCCAGCCCGCGAGCAGTTCCGGTGCCAAAACCCTTCCCTCTCCCGCTCCCCCGGAAGTGCTTTTCCAAGGTTCGGGCCAGAGAGAGGCCTTGTAGGCACTGCCGCGGAGGCTCGATCGCCTCCGAGTAGGGGCTCCTTCCCGGATCGGAACCCGGGGATCCGTGCCCGCCGAGCCGCGACCTAACCCCCTCCCAGCGCTCGGGCCGACGGTGAGTGGCTTGGGGAACAGCCTGGGGCAGCTGTGGGCCGTGTCGGGGCTTGCGCTCTCGGGCCCCCGCTGCCCGCTACGGGCTACGGGCTCCTGGCTGCAGGCTGGGCTGTCGGGGTTCCGGGAAGCGGGTTGTCGACCGCCGCGGTCTTTGCCGAACTCGCCGGCCGGGAAGGAGCGGGCGGCAGGGCCGTGGGGTGGGCGGGGCGGAGCGGGGGAGAGGGTTCACGGAGCTGTTGTTGCTGTTGGAACTGGAGAGTGGGGATGGGCTGGGCCGCGGTCCATCTGATCCCCTCTTTTCTGCTCCCTCAAACCTTCGTGCTGCCTCCCAGATTTGGTTTTCTGTGTCCGACCTGGGTGGGGCTGGGGACCTGGACACCGGACTCAATCTCGGGATCCAGTTCCCGACTTTTTTTGTCCTCAGGGTTTGCCTTTGGGCTCCGTAATTAGCCCGGGTCCCAGAGGTGGTGTCTCCTCGATCCCGGGGCGGGGCGATGCGTGTGTAGATGCCCGGGATCTTTTGCAAAGCTTTTCATCCAGACACGCCTAGGGGTTGCCCGGGACCGATTCGGACTGCGCTTGGGGACCGTTTCTGAATAGGTCTGTGGCACCGGCGTGCCTCCCATAATTTTTAGTGACTGGAAAGCTTGCTCAAGCTATTGTTAAAGTCATTTAAAACAAACAAGTTGAGGAGAATCGGTTCAGATAAGTTTCCTTATTTTCTTGCAGACTTAAAAAATAATGCTTTTCTTTAATCTGTATTCCTAATTCCTGTGGCTATTTGAAGTCACCGTTGTATGGTGAGTTCAGTCTGCGGTTGCACGAATGGATTGCAGAGGTTGGAGAACTGTTACACCGCGTCTCCCTCGAAGTTTGCATACCTTCGTGTTCGGAACTGTCATTTTCCTTAACTTTTACAGAATCGCTCTCGGTAACTTCTGAGGTTCCTTATACTGTTAACAGCAAGGCAGAGTTCACACAGTTGGGCAGAGGTGATTTGTTTTATTTATTTATTTATTTTGAACTTATATTATGAAGTGCTTAGCTCGGAAAAATCGAAAATTTCCTAAATGAGAAAGCACTATAGGCATTTTTAATGAACAGATTTTAGGTAATAAATACTGCTGAAAGGTTTGTAGGAAATAAGGGTTTCCCACATTTAATAGTAATTTTTCAATTACGATCATAAGGGAATGCAATTACTGCAGATTATGGTTATCGGCAGATGACCAGTGTTTTTGCAGTGTAAAGTGTACCCAAACCATCTTTGTGAAGTTCGTGACGCTTTCCCGCTTATATATTAGGACTTATACTGTAGTTATTTGGATACTCGTCTCATTTCCTCTCCTCCACTGACAGAGAGGTAATATGAATTAGGGAAAATATACTAAAGTGACAAGTTGGGTGAGCTCTCCTATGCAAAAGAAAATGTATTTCAGGGTTGTTGATCTTTAGGCAAAGGGTGGATGATTTTTAAGTTCCGGGAAAAGATTGTGGAGGGAAGGTTAGTTGCCCGACATTTACATTCCAATAGAAACTGTGGATTCTTAGCCATTTGAAGTGGTTGTTTAGAGCATACGGTTGGAATATTGTAATTGAAAGAACCTGGAAAAAGAGTCAAGTTAGATATGGTTATGGATCCGGACTGATGGTAGTTAATGTCTTTTGAAGGGACATGTTTCAAGAATTGTAGCAGTAAAAAAAGATACTTGGGGAAAACCAGATACCCGTAGGCATGGTAAATTTTATTATGTTCAATTCAATTCAATAGATGCTGAATATTTGCATTGTAAATTATGTTATGTAGGTCTATTCAACTGATATTGAACATTTGCTATGTTAGACAAACATGTGGGAGCAAATAAAGATACACCCCTAACAACTGAGATTCATGTTTTGGCAGTAATTTTCTACGGTGTATCAGAAATCATGAAGAGATGACTTACATTGTTTAAACATATTAAACAATTTTTCTAATTGGAGGGGGTGGTATGTGCTTCATTAAAAGCATTAATAGGCTTTGTAGGATACAAATACTAAGTTTTTGGTCTTCAGGAATTTGAAATCTAGAAGGTGATGTAAGATATTGGCACAAACATTTATGACTTAAATATATGTAAATATGTAGGTTTGACCGAAAGTTTGGAGTTACATGAAAGGAAAATGGGTTCATTTTTAGCTGGAGTAATTATGGAGAGTGGTAGAGGTATAGTAATACTTCTGAAGTTAGCTCTGAGGCCATTATTTACTGAGCATTAAGTGACCACCAGGCTCTCTGCTAGTTGAGGACTGTGTAGCTAGCAGGTAACCGAACCCTCATTTGAACCCAGATCTGCCTGGTGCCAAAGCCTGTGTGTTTCAGCTCCCTCTTGTTATCTCCCAATAAACTGATTCTCTGAGTTCAACATTGCAGAAGGTAAGGCTTTTTTCTAAGAGAAAAATTTAGGGATTGGGAATAGATAGATGGAGAAGGTTTTTCACATAAAAGGAATGATGTGAGCACAAGTGTGGAGGAGGGAACAGTTCATGGTGTACTGAGAGAAGAGTTAGAGGAGCAGAGTACCTAGAATATAAGGTTCATTTGAGGAATAAGAGGTGAGGTTTGAAATTTAATTTGGGGCTGGACCATGTTTAAATTCTCTATTTAGGAGTTCAACATTTGGGAGGTAATGAGAAACTACTAAGGTCTAAAAAGTGTAGTGTGTAGAGTTTTGTTGTATAAAGTTGACTTTCAGTATATAGAATTGACCCTTGAAAAACCTGGGTTGGAACTGCCTGGAGCCATTTATACGCAGATTTTTTTCTGTAAATACGTATAGTACTGTAAATGTAAATAGTCTTAATAACATTTTCTTTTTCTCTAGCTTGCTTTATTGTTAGAATACAGCATATAATACATGTAACATACAGAATATACAGGGTGGGGCAAAAGTAGTTTTACAGTTGTTGGTGTGGAAAATAATACACTAATTAATAAATAATAATACAAGAATAAACTGTGTACTCACAACTGTATATCTACTTTTGCCCCACGCTGTATGTTGATCATCTGGTTATGTTATTGGTAAGGCTTCTGGCCAACAGTAGACTATTAGGTTTTTGGGGAGTCAAAAGTTACATGTGGGTTTTTGACTGTTGAGGGTGTTGTTGGTGCCCCCAACGCCCAGGTTGCCCAAGGGTGGACAGCAGTATAAATACTGGGCAAGTGTAATGGTGGCATAGGATGATTTAGTAGGAGGGTAGAAGGAGGGATTGTTGGGAAAGGTTTGGAGGAGGTGGAAGTTGAAGGCTGTATTCATTTTTTAAAAAAAAGTTTTTGTTTATTTATTTATTTTTAGAGAGAGGGGAAGGGAGGGAGAAAGAAAGAGAAGCATCAATTGGTTGCCTCTCATTCCTGTACTGACTGGGGTGGGTTGGAATGGCAACCCAGTCATGTGCCCTTGAGGAGGCATGAAACTGGCAACTTTTAGTTCTATGGGAGGATGCCCCACCAACCGAGCCGCACCCATCAGAGCAAGGTCATATTCATTTTAAGTGTGGATGATGGCGATGGAGGCACTGTTACCAGAAATATGGGAAAAGGAGTGCATAGTATGATCAGTTTTGAATATGTTGACTGTGTTTTTTTATGTACTTGCCAAACACTGGAAATGCCTAGAGGCTTTTGGAAATGTAGGTTTTTAGTTCATGTGAGAGAGCAGTGCTAGGCATATATTAAACATGCGTGTAGATGTTAATACAAAACATGTACTAGTTGAATCTCTATAAAGAGTTGAAAGAATCGGGAGAGTTTATAGGGGAAAGAAAAAACTCTTTTAGATGGTATCTGTTTAAAACAGAATCCTAAGACACTAAATAGATAATTCTATGTAGTGAGAAAAGAATTTGGTAATCTGTGTACTCTTCTTCGCATCACAGATTCGGATAGGATAGAAAGAATCTGATCATTGAAAATCCAATTGGGAATAAAATTTTCTTGCTATTGCTGTTAAGAATACTATGCTATCATTGCCCTATTTCAGGGGGAACAAACTATTTCATATTAATTTGGTCTAGACTCTCAGACTTTGGTTACTTAAGAGCTGTTTGGTTGTTTCTTTTGGACATTTGCCGGCAAGTGATACGTGAGTATTTGGAAGCAAATCTCTGATATGGTATTCTGTTTATTTATATATATGACTTTCAATTTTGGTTTCCATATCAAGAACCTTTAAATATTCAAAGATAATTTTTGTGCCTCCTAGTACTACTGGCTGGTAGTAGTGCCTTTCATAGAAAATGGTATTTAATTACATATTTTTCTTCTCTCTTTAATACGTACTTTAAAAAAAAAAGATTGTATTTATTTACCTTTAGAGAGAGGGGAAGGGAGGGAGAAAGAAATGGAGAGAAACATTGATTGGTTGCCCTTTGCATGCCCTCAACTGGTGACCTGGCCCGCAACCCAGGCATGTGTCCTGACTGGGAATCAAACCAGTGACGTTTTGGTTTGTAGACCAGCACTCAATCCACTGAGCCACACCAGCTGGGGCTGTACTTTTGATTAATATGAATAGTTTTGTCTCTCAGGTCCTGATTGTCTTAGAGGGATAGAATGATAATTAACCATTGTATAATGATACATTCAGTTGGCCAAAAAGTCCATTTAGCTTTTTCTGTAAAAGAAAAGACACATTTTTCATTTTCGCCAATAACTTTATTGATTTGGATCTTTTGAGTATATTGGCAGTGTTCTGCAATTGGCGTCTAGTGGGTAGAGGCCGGGGTGCTGCTAAACATCTTCCAATGCTTATGACAGCCCCACAGCAAAGAGATATTTAGCTAAAACGTCAATAGTACCAAGAAACTTCGCAAACCACTTTTGACATGTTCAATCAGTCACAGCACCTTCTCCATATACTGCACAGATCTTTTTTTTGTGTTTCTGTTGTGGTTTTACCTTTCTTGAAATAATAAAGCATAAAACACCACAAATGTTGTGTATCTTCTTCCATCTTCAGT